CTAAGAAGCCTTTATCATAGTACCACCTATAGGGTAGTGACAACCCGAAGTTCAAGGGTAAGGCAACTACCTCCACTGGCCAGTATGAGGAGCCAACGCTAGTAGTTACTCATTCAGCTGCCGAGCCTTCCACAACAGCCGGTCCTTCCACCAAGACAGTAGCTAATCCACCTTCATCTTCTAGACCACCAGCTTCGTTATCAATGCCATTATCAGTGCAGCCTCAGCTACTTATCCTCAAACTGCGCTGTGAGTCTCCCAGACATTGGCGAGTCTTAACAACTGGATGCAGGCAGCTACTTCAAAGCTGTCTGACATATCCACTGTTGTTGCAGCACAGTCAGCATCCCCAACAGAGCCATTGGTACCTCCGTCAGTGGAGGAAACTTTGAAGAAGATTCTGGACAACTAGAAGACTATCATGGCTACAGTGGTGGCACACGGGAAATCCATTGAGGATTTGGGCAAGCAGGTCAAGAAGATGTGAAAGTCTCAAGCATCGAAGAAGTCAGTGGACAAGTTGAGAAAAGAGGTCGCCAAGATTACATCTACCGGAGATCTACCATTGGACCTGCTCATGGAATCAGCAGCACAGGCAGCACCAGCAGTACCCGAGGCACCAGAATCAGCAATTGGCCAATCTGAGAAGCCAGTTGCGACTGCTCACACTGCTGAAGAGATGATCCAGATGCTCAGCAACCCTGTTGTCCCTCAGCCAGGTGATGATAAGATACAGCTAGAGGAGATCGAGGGTGTTGTGGATCCCATGCAGACTGAGACCACATAGGGAGTTCTCTTAACTTTGTACCCTTTCCCTGTTCTTATTTTTGTTAAGCATTAGGGACAATGCTTATTTTTATTTTGGGGGTGGTCTATTTTGTTTGATTGATATTGACATATGGCCTGTAATAACTCTTATAATATTTTCATTTTATCTTTATTTTCCCTTTGGTATGTATATATTCTTCCCTTTAGTTTGATGTATATATTCATTCCCCTTATGTATATATTCATTTCCTTCAGGTTTGTATATTCATTTGTTTTACTTTCTGTAGTTTACTTCATAGCTTCTTTAGTTTGTTTTTCTTAGTATTATAACTTCTTAGTTGCTTTAGTTGCTTCTTTTTGGATTTGTTAGCTTCTTTTTACGTTTGAGTGATCAATAAGCCTTTGCTTTTCTTAATGTCACTTTTCTTTCCAATGGTGGATTTTGTCTGAACCGGGTGGCTCTTCTCAACGATGGATGGCGTGACAACCTTCTTAAGGTATTGAGTCCATTTTCTTTTATGTTTAGGCAAATATAGTAGTACTGAATAAAAAGGGGTCTCAAGCATGCTTCACTTGGTAACAATACATTTACCTACGACCTTATGGTTAAAAACAAAGTTGTTTGCAGAAAATTGTTCTAGTTGTGACCTTTTGACTCTTGTGTTGACTTAAGCAGTCGAGCCATTTGTGATTCTCAATATAACTAGGGTTGTTGTGGGCCCTCGACCCCGTTCTCTTTAGAAATCCAATAGCGTGAGAGGTGAGGTATTGAATTGCAAGTCCAAGTACCAGTTCTTATAGTCTAGAACTTGCCCTGAATGTTTTTCTAGGCGAAATTCTAAGTGTAGCTTGGGTTGAGAAATGAATGTAGGCTCTCCTTGATCCGATTTGAAGTTTGAAATCTTCCATAGCCTACCAATGCGATATCCCTAGTCAACCCATTTGAGCCTAAGCCCTTCTTCTTTCAATAACCACGTTACAAGCCTTTATCCGTTTTGTAATGACCCTCTCTTGGCACCCAATCTTTCCATAGCATTCTTGAGAAACAATTGGCAAAAATATAAGTTTGGGGGAGAGATGAGGAGTTTGAAAGTGATAAATGATACAAAGAAGAGAAAGAAATGAAGAAAAGGGAAGGCAAAGAAAAGAAAGGAAGAACAAAAAGAAAAATGCCAAAAAGAAAGTGAATAAGGTAGTAAAGTTGAAGGGATTCAAAGAAAACAATGATGAAAGGCATGGAGAAAATAGAAAAGGAGAAAAATGAATGTCATGACCAAGAAAGAGTGACGTTACGTCTCTCTAGTCCCTCCAAGGAAAAAGAAATTGACTCAAAGAGCCGACAAAGTATGAGCCAAAATGAGGAAGTGGAGTGCTTAAGGAAAGATGAACCCATTCTATCTCATCAAGACCTACCTTTATCCAAAAAGCCTTCATTACATCCCGAAAAAGGCCTACATGATTTCAAGTTGAGTGAGCTTACATTAGTGGTAATTTACATAAGGGGCACGCTTATGGTACTTAGAGCCGGAATTGTGATATTCTTTTGAGAGAGATGAGCGAACTTTTCACAATCCTTGTTTCGAGTGTTACATTCTAAAGTGAGATTTGCTAACGGAAAGTAAAGGAGGAGGAGTTTGGGATCCACAATGACCTACGTGAAAGAGCGAGCTTCCTTGATGAATAAAGTCAACTCTTGATGCTCTAGTGTCACATTAGAACTATTGTACTCAAAAACTCAAATCATTAAATTGTTGATAATTCATACGTGATGTGGGTAATTATTGGTCCCAATTGATGTGTGATTGATTCACCTTAGGTCAGCTGAAATATCCCTTTTTCTAGTGGAGGTGGGAATTGCCTTAATTGCTTGAGGACAAGCAAAAGCTTAAATTTGGGAGAGTTGAAAAGTAGGGATTTTAACCGCTTATTTGCTCTCTTTTACTTGCGTTTTAGCTCAAAAATGCTTAAAGGTAATCCCGAAAACTAATGAAATGTACTTGCTTGCAGGAGTGTTGCAATATGAGCCAAAGAAATCAAAATCAACTCATAAAGGAGTCAAAAGTGGACAAGGACCAAAACAAGGCAAAAAGGCCCACAATGCAGACCGCACAATAGTGTGTGCGGCCACAAAATAAGGAAAGAGCCATGTCAGTTTTTCTTCAGATTATGCGGACCGCACAAATAGTGTGCGACCGCAGAATAGGATGTTCAAAGAGTTGATTTTGGGAAAGCTGAAGATATGCGGACCGCACCATAATTCTGCGGCCGCAAGATGGCATGTGTGGCCGCCCTCACAATTGTGCGGTCCGCAGAAGAGAAGAATCGGAGAGCTGGGTTCAAGTCCAAAGTCAAGGAGTGCGAACCGCACTAAAATTGTGCGACTGCAGAAGTAAGAGTGCGGCCTCACTCACAAATTTGTGGTCCACACAAGAAGAAGGAGTGCGGATGTAGAGATAGAACCTGTCAAGCCAAATCTATTTGTGCGGACCGCACACATTATTGTGCGGCCGCACAACCTCTGCAGGGGCATTTTCGTCAGATATTTTTAGCTTAGTATAAATAGAATTTTTTGTCATTTTTAGGTTAAGTTTAATTTTGAGAGAGCACCTAAGCCTTTTTCTTTACTGTTTTGAGTAATATTGTACTAGATTAGCTTCTAAATATTAGATTTTCTTTCCCTAATCAATTATTATGCATTCTATCTTAATTTCTACTTTAGTTTCTTCATTTTTCATGAGTAGCTAAATTTCTAGCTAGGGTTGTGGCCCAATTCTAGTGTGTGTACTTAATGGGTGTTTGATTTAGGGCTTGTTTGTGATTGGGTTAGTGATATTTAGCCAAGTTCATGCTTGAATTCAAGAATTAATGGTTGCTAGCATTGATTCATGCCTATTTGACTTAGTCTCTACTTGAGAAAGAGAGACTAAGTCTAGGAACACTTGGCTAACGAGAAATTGGGGTGAACTCAAGAAATTGATAGCCCCAATTAAAGGGTTAAATCTAGAGATAGTAAGACCTGACTTGAGCATATTTCACTTGTTTTGTGCAATACCCATTTGGACTTGAGAAAGCCAAATTGGGCAAAATCACTCAAACCACCGAGAGATATAGAGTGGGTGATTGCGTGTGATTGCTATATTACAACCCCGACTAATCAAACTTGCCCAAGAGTTTACAATCCGTTAGGTAACCACCTTGGTGGAAGTCACGACCCTAGATATTTTATTATTTGAAAAACAATCGAAACCAAATATATTGTCTTCTAGTTTTATAATTGCAATCAATAGCTCAAAGTAGAAATATAAACAACAAACAAGAATATGGAAGTGTAATTTGAGGCACATCATACAATTACACTAAATATATACTTAATCCCAATTCTAACTCCTTGTGGATTTGACCCCTACTCGCGTTGGGTTTTATTATTGCTTCGACCGCCTCACTACCTATATTTGTGGTTTGAGTTTGGGCGACATCAGTAGCCAAATAGGAAACAGTAGTGTTCCTGTCCAGCTAATCTATCAAGCATTTGATCAATGAAGGGAAGGGGAAAGTAATCCTTTGGGGTTGCACTGTTCAATTTTCTATAATCTATGCAAAATCTCCACCAGTGACAAATCTTGTGCGAATCAGGCCATTATTTCATTAACCACTACAGTCATCCCCCATTTCTTAGGCATACATTGGACAAAGCTTACCCATTTGCTATTAGAGATTGGAAATACAATACCTGCATCAAGCCACTTAATCACTTCTTTTCTAACCACTTCTTTCATGATTGGACTTAGACGGCGTTGTTGCTCTACACTTGGCTTGTGCCCTCCTCCATGGAGATTTAGAAGAAAAAAATAACAGGTAAAGTGTCAGAACCATCCAAATAGGCATATTGAAGGTGAGGGGAAAGGTTTTAAGTTCCAATTTAGGAGCCTCTTCAATCGACGGCTTTGGAGGAGGCCTACTTGGCCTATTTAGGGGCTCAAAGGGGTTTAATCCCTGCATCTAAGCACATGATGCATCTAGGATATGCATCATCTCCTCAACCTCATCATCAATCTCCAAGCTATCGAACCACATGAGTGCTTTCTCTAGAGAATCGTCTAGATATACACTCGTGTCAAGAAATTGCTCATCCACCTCCACAACAGATATCATAGAGAGATCCTCATAATGGAGGGGACGTTGGATCGCCTTGTAGACATTAATAATTGCTTCCTCATTGTTCACCCTCATAATCATTTTTCCTCTCTCACTTTAATAATTGTATCACCTGTAGCCAAGAGAGGTCGTCCCAATATGATTGGAACTTGTTCATCAGCATCATAATCTAGGATAATGAAGTCTGCTGGTAAGATGTATTTCCCAATTTGCAGCAACACATCTTCAATCACTCCTTTAGGGTAGGCTATGAATCTATCAGTTAGTTGCAACATCACAGTGGTTGGTCTTGGAGCTCCTAGACCCAATTGTTTGAACAAGGATAAGGGCATCAAATTTATGCTCGCCTCCAAATCACAAAGAGCACGCCCCACATCGATATTACCAATTCGCACAGGGATGGTGAAGCTGCCAAGATATTTAAGCTTTTGAGGAAGCTTGTTTTGGACCCGTGAAGTGCACTCCTCAGTAAGTGCGACTGTCTCAAATTTAATCAATCTCCTCTTGTGAGCCACTATATCTTTTATGTACATAGCATATTTTGGAATTTCGCAAAGCACATCTACCAATGGAATATTCAATTGACCTGACCCAACATAGAGAGAAATTTGTTGAATATGCGATCATCATTCTTCTTCTGCAATCTTTTGTAACAACCTGGCCGGTCGTTTTTGGAATTTACGCCCCGATCCCCCATTTACCGCTTCCCCTAAGTTCATTTCTGCTATTTTGGTATGCCGGGACGTTCTGTGTTAGGGTTCGGAGTGTTTTGGGACACTTAGTCCCTAAATGAGAGCTTAAGTGTTGAAACATGGTCCGTAATCGGAACAGTGTGAAGACAACCTCGGAATGGAAATCCGATGGTTCCGTTAGCTCCGTTAGGTGATTCGGGGTTGGGAGCGTGTTCGGAATGCATTTTGGAAGCTCGTATCTCATTTAGGCTTGAAATGCCGAAGTTTGAATTTTTAAAATTTCCGGTCCGATAGTGAATTTTTGATCCGAGGGTCGGAATGGAATTCCGGAAGTTTCTGTAGCACCGTCATGTCATTTGGAACGTGCGTGCAAAATTTCAGGTCAATCGGACGAGGTGTGGTTAGGTTTTTGATCGAAAGTGTGTTTCGTTGGAATTTGAAGTTCTTAGGCTTGAATCTTTGATTAATTCGTGTTTCCGGTGTTGTTTTAGGTGGTTTAAGGATTGGTACAAGTTTGAATGATGTTATGGGATATGTCTGTAGGTTTGGTTGAGGTCCGGGGGCTCGGGTGTGTTTCGGATGCTCATCCGAGCAATTTGAAGTTTGGAAATGTTGCAGAAAGTTGCAGGTCTGAATTCCTTCTTCGCGTTCGGGAAGAAGGCACCGCGTTCGCGTAGTAGTAGCCTATCCTCTCATCGCGTTCGCGGCCACTCTCCCGCGTTCGCGTAGTGTAATTTTGGAGAGGGGGGGGGGGGCGTTCCTCTTCGCGTTCGCATAAGATCACCCGCGTCCGCGTAGCTTCACTATTTCCTCCATCGCGTTCGCGTAAGCCTTGTCGCGTTCGCGTAGTTTTTGATCCCCTGGCCTTCGCGTTCGCGCTCCTCCCTTCACGATCGCGAAGGGCATTTTTGGGCCCTGATATTTTCCTTCTTCGCGAACGCGTGCTTCCTATCGCGTTCGCGATGCTTTAGACTCTTGAACAGTACTTAACATTTCAAAAACGAGGTTTTGCCATTTTTATCAAAACTCAAGGTTGGGAGCTCGAATTTGGGAGTAGTTTCAAGGGTTTTTCAAGGGCAATCACCGGGTAACGATTCTCTACTCTCCTATGACTAAAACCCATTAATCTAATCGCAAATTCACCCTTTAATTTCGTATTTTTGAATGGGAAGTGGGTAAACTTCTTAGACCTAACTATGGGGTTTTGAGGGGTCATTTGACCTCCGATTTGGGAGATTTTAATATGGTTAGACTCGTGAGAGTACGAGGGTTCTGAAAACGTAAAAATTATTCGATTCCGNTATGTGAGAGATGTTAGTGTTGATACCCCTTCTGTTGATTCTGTTCCAGTGGTACGGGATTATCCCGATGTATTTCCAGCCGATATTCCGGGCATGCCGCCTGATAGAGTATATTGATTTTCGGCATTGATCTGTTGCCGGGCACTCAGCCCATTTCCATTCCTCCGTATCGTATGGCTCCTCCTGAGTTGAAGGAGTTGAAGGATCAGTTACAGGATTGCTTGGTAAGGGTTTATTCGACCCAGTGTTTCACCGTGGGGTGCTCCTGTTTTGTTCGTGAAGAAGAAGGATGGTTCTATGCGCATGTGTATTGACTACCGCCAGTTGAACAAGGTTACAGTGAAGAACCGTTATCCTTTGCCTCGCATTGATGATCTGTTTTGACCAGCTTCAGGGCGCACAGGTGTTCTCTAAGATTGACTTGCGCTCAGGTTACCATCAGTTGAAGATTCGGGAGCCAGATATCCCGAAGACTGCCTTCAGGACTCGATATGGTCATTACGAGTTCCTTGTTATGTCATTTGGGCTGACTAATGCCCCGACAGCTTTTATGCATTTGATGCACAGTGTATTCAGGCCATATCTTGACTCGTTCGTGATTGTTTTTATTGATGATATTCTGGTGTATTCCCGGAGTCGGGAAGATCATGAGCAGCATCTGAGGACCGTGCTACAGACATTGAGGGAGAAAAAGTTATATGCAAAGTTCTCAAAATGTGAGTTTTGGCTGAGTTCTGTGGCATTCTTAGGCCATGTGATTTCTAGCGAGGGTATTCGGGTGGATCCGAGGAAGGTAGAGGCCGTGCAGAGTTGGCCCAGGCCGTCCTCAGCTACAGAGATTCGCAGTTTCCTTGGCTTGGCGGGTTACTACCGTCGTTTTGTGGAGGGATTTTCATCGATTGCTGCCCCTATGACTAGATTGACCCAGAAGGGTGCCCCATTTTAGTGGACAGAGGAGTGCGAGGCGAGCTTTCAAAAGCTCAAGACAGCTTTGACTACAGCCCCTATCTTGATGTTGCCTACCGGTTCAGGGTCTTATACAGTTTATTGTGATGCCTCACGGGTTGGACTTTGAGCGGTGTTGATGCAGGACGGTAGGGTGATTGCCTACGCGTCCAGACAGTTGAAGGTGCATAAAAAGAACTACCCTGTCCACGACCTTGAGTTAGCTACTATTGTTCACGCTTTGAAGATCTGGCGCCATTATTTGTACGGGGTGCCTTGTGAGATCTATACTGACCATCGGAGTTTGCAGCACTTGCTTAAGCAGAAGGACCTGAATATGCGTCAGAGGAGGTGGTTAGAGCTGCTGAAGGATTATGACATCACTATCCTATATCACCCGGGCAAGGCCAATGTGGTAGCGGATGCCTTGAGTCGCCGGGCGGAGAGTTTGGGGAGCTTGGCATATTTACCTGCTTCAGAGAGGCCTATGGCGATGGATGTTCAGGCCTTAGCCAGCCAGTTCGTGAGATTGGATCTTTCGGAGCCCAGTCAGGTTCTAGCCTGTGTGGTTTCCCAGTCTTCCCTATTTGACCGTATCAGGGAGCGGCAGTATGATGACCCTCATTTGCTTGTCCTTCGGGACAAGGTTCAGCGTGGAGATGCCAGGGATGTGACCATTGGAGATGATGGAGTATTGAGGATGCAGGGCCGGATTTGTGTGCCCAATGTTGATGGTCTTCGAGAGATGATTCTAGCAGAGGCCCATAGTTCGCGGTATTCCATCCATCCGGGTGCCGCGAAGATGTATCAAGACCTGAGGCAGCACTACTGGTGGAGGCGGATGAAGAAGGATATAGTTGGTTATGTGTCTAGATGCCTCAACTGCCAGCAGGTGAAGTATGAGCACCAGCGCCCGGGTGGGTTGCTCCAGCAGTTAGAGATTCCGGAGTGGAAATGGGAGCGCATCACCATGGATTTTGTATCTGGACTTCCACGGACCTTGAAGAAGTTTGATTCCATTTGGGTTATTGTGGACTGGCTGACCAAGTCCGCTCATTTCATTCCTGTGTGTACCACTTATTCATCGGAGCGGTTGGCGGAGATTTATATCAGGGAGATCGTCCGTTTGCATGGTATTCCAGTTTCTATCATTTCAGACAGAGGTACTCAGTTTACATCGCGGTTCTGGAGAGCCGTGCAGCAGGAGTTAGGCACTAGGGTGGAGTTGAGCACAGCATTTCACCCCCAGACGGACGGACAGTCCGAGCGCACTATTCAGATTCTTGAGGATATGCTCCGTGCATGTGTGATTGAGTTCGGAGGGTCTTGGGATCATTACTTGCCACTGGCGGAGTTTGCTTACAATAACAGCTATCAGTCCAGCATTCAGATGGCGCCGTATGAGGCTTTATATGGTAGGAGGTGCAGATCTCTGGTGGGTTGGTTTGAGCTGGGCGAGGCCAGGCTATTGGGCACAGAGATGGTTCAGGATGCATTGGAGAAGGTTAAGGTGATTCAGGATAGACTCCGTACAGCCCAGTCCAGGCAGAAGAGTTACGCGGACAGGAAGGTTCGTGATGTTTCGTATATGGTTGGTGAGCGGGTTCTGCTTCGGGTCTCGCCTATGAAAGGCGTCATGCGGTTTGGGAAGAAAGGAAAGTTGAGTCCGAGGTTTATTGGCCCTTTTGAGATCTTGAGGCGAGTTGGGGAGGTTTCCTATGAGCTTGCTTTACCTCCCAGTTTGGCCGGAGTTCATCCGGTATTTCATGTTTCGATGCTCCGGAGATATCACGGTGATCCGTCGCATGTGTTGGATTTCAGTTCAGTCCAGCTGGACAAGGATCTATCCTATGTTGAGGAGCCAGTGGCTATTTTGGACAGTCAGATCAGGAAGTTGAGGTCAAAGAACATCGCTTCAGTGAAGGTTCAGTGGCGGGGTCAGCCGGCCGAGGAGGCGACTTGGGAGACCGAGCAGGATATGCGCAGCCAGTACCCTCATCTTTTCACTACTTCAGGTATGTTCTCTATGCTCGTTCGAGGACGAACGAATGTTTAAGTGTAGGAGGATGAAACGACCCGGCGGTCGTTTTGGAAATTCGCCTCGATCCCCATTAACTGCTTCCCCTAAGTTCATTTCTGCTATTTGGTTTGCCGGGACGTTCGGTGTTGAGTTTCGGAAAGTTTTGGGACACTTAGTCCCTAAATGAGAGCTTAAGTGTT